AGCCCGTATAGAACCCTTTAAGGAACCTTGAAAGGGGCCCTAATTTAGAGAACTGCCCATATGGCAGACAGACGCCCTGGGCATCGCACTTCGGCTCTTTGAGGCCTCACGGCTTGCGGCCTCAAAGATTTCAGCCAAGCGCGAGTTAGGGTTTAGGGTTTAGGGTTTAGGGTTTAGGGTTTAGGGTTTAGGGTTTAGGGTTTAGGTTTAGGGTTTAGGGTTTAGGGTTTAGGGACTACTGTGGTGATGAAAGCTATGAGAATAATAATAGTAAGAGACAAGGGTCCTCCGCCTTCTCAAGGTGCATGCCCCATGTCGAACACCCTGTCACACACACAATAGCACCCGAAACTTATCTACGAATCTACGATGGATGCCCTACTTCTGCTTCCGTCGCTGGGTCTCTCACTTGGCTTTGGGGATGGGCGGCACCGCCCCGATGGGCCGAGGCACCCTTGGAGAACGGGAGAAAGCTTTTTTGGGCGAAGAGCTTAACTGTCAGTATTTTATCGTGTTGGGGCGTATGGGATCTTACTTATTCCTTACTTTTCTCGGTTTGAGGCTTTCAGGGGTTGACAGTGGGCATGCCGCAGGGCCCCATGCTCAGGGACGCAGACAATCTCCTCATCTGAAGTCTGTCGGCCGGCAAAAGCATCATTCAAGAAGCATTCGCACGGTGGGATTCAGCACTGCTCAAACAGAATCCTTAAATGGAAGCCTGAACCACATGTTTCGAAGGCAGTCTCATTACCGCGGCAACCTTCGTTCAAAAATATTGCGGATGTAAAAAAACAGGACCTGTCATCACTCCAAAAGTCAACAGCAACTCCCAACACCCCATGTAAAATGATTAGACGGTGCATCTCCTGCAGCCCTGCCTGGCTTTGGGCTGTGGGGCCGGAAGGAAGACACGGGACGCGCTGCCCCGCAAATTGGCGGCCTCAGCTCAGGCGCCCGTTGCGAGACAAGAGATCCGAGGCGTCGAAAGAAGATTAGGGCTTAGGGTTTAGGGTTCAATGTATAGAGCGGATCGTGTGCACAAACGCACACACTCTCTTTGTCTCTGTCTCCAGTTCAATGCTTCTGTGCTACTGCTACTGTACTACCGCTTCTACTGCTGCTACTGTCGCCACCACCATCAGTACTGCTCATTCGATGAATGACAAGACTGACAATAGTATAAAATCAAAACGGTAACACCAATCATGAAGGCAAGGATGCTAATGATATCACGGTGATGACGGCAATCCAGGCAATAATGGCAGTGACTGTAGCGATGATGACGATAACGACGACGATCTTCTCTCGCTGCAGAAGAGGGTCTGCGCTGCAATGTTCGGCCATTTTAAACGCCAGCGTCCACTAGACACAGCGCCTTGGCTCCAAAAACCTATCTACGTCGGTAGCTCCTCCCGCCCGGTAGGGCCCTTAAGCAGAGGACCAAACAACGAACCAATGCAGCCGTGGACAAAGAGGACAGAGTTCATGACCGCATGGGCTTAGTCAATTCTTCAACCCCGTGCAAAAGAAAGAGATATAAGTTCGACAGCACCTGCAGGGCATGTTGCGCTAATGTGATGGGCGAGGCAGCACAACGATCGTCAGTGGTGTGCATAAGCTTGCCGTCACTCATAAAGGCCGCACGATAATGGCCGCGGAGGATCGTGGGGAACGATGACGATGACGATGATTAAGGACAGCATTCATGGATATGAGGATAATGTTTGCAGCGGCGGGACTTCTGCAAAACCCCAACCTCTCGGCGAAAGCTCTGGACTCCACCCCGGAAGAGCGCTTTTTGCCGGTCTCGCCCAGTCAGTGCACGATTGAAATCCGGGCAGGGACTTCTGGGTGGACGGTGTCGTGAATTGCTATGAACCGATCTGAGCATGTGTCCGCAGCGCGCGGGCTCTAACACCTGGAGGTCCCGAAGCTCAGCATCGCCAGGATCAGTGTCAGAGTTCTGCTTGCGACTTGCGGCATCTTAAAGTGGACGCTCCAAGAGGAGCACCAGCCGACCATCGAGATTTTCGCGGTTAGACTCCAGGGCTTCGGTGACCTCTCGCTTGCAGTGCCAACCGTCCACAAACCTACTAGTATATCTTCGGATACTTTGTGCTTTGCATGTCTTTGCACACTCTAGCCTCGCAGGTCAGATGCAAAGTGCACTGCTAGGGATATGGTCGATCATGTGAAGGGGTCTTCGGACAGTGAGGTGTCAAAGCAACCGTCCCTTTTGCCAGCCTCGGCGGCCGAGCGGCCATCGCATTTCATCACCTGGCATTTCGGTTTTTCTCAGCAGCTGGCTCTTCTCTGGCCATCCATTCGTGCCTGCTGCATGGGCATCGCCTCCGCACCCAGCATCTTGTCCAGCCAGCCAGGCTCTGGGCCCGCCCCCACGAAAGACACGGCCCTCACAATGTCTCCCACCTCACAGGTGTGGGCGACAAACCCAAGTGTAAGCGCAAAGTGTCTGAGCATCTATTTAGGCCGTTCAACCTCAAGCGTGCTTGAACGCTGGAGATCAACTATCCCTTTCACGAACCGGAGAAGGGTTAAGACGTGGCACCTGAATGCCCAATGTCTCAGCCTCGCTCTTGGGGTCAACCGAGAGCACCACGACGAGGTCGGCATCTATTCTTGGCACATCCAGGGGCCTGGCATGTGCTCTTGAGCTGAATGGTTCGTCTGCACGGATCGGAATAAGTAGGATTGACGCCCTTTCAGAAGCGGAGACTACAGTGACTACAGCTTCCCCCTGCAACCAGAGCCTCTGGACCTCCACAGACGGATGCCCAGCGGCAGGAAGGCCGTAAAGCACATGAGCCGTGCACCAGTAGGCTCGTAAAGAGGCGTCAGGTCTGAGCCCCACATCAGCTCGGAATTATCCTTCAGAGGCAGCGAGACGCGCACGTGCGCAGCGCCAGGCACCAGTGCAGGGCCATCTGTCTCGCGCACGGGCGGCAAGATGTCAATAGTCACAGGATCTCCGGCGAGGCGGCCCGAGGTTGGCACGAAGGAGGGTGCACTGGTCTTGCGGCGCGGGTTCTGCAGCAGTTGCAGGGCCTACAGGTAGCGAGCTTCACCCACACACGCAGAGCACACGCGGAGCACACGCGGAGCACACGCGGAGCAGTTGCTCCAAGCCCAAGGGCCCCTCGAGCCTCGTCCAGCTCGTCGTTGTAGGCCTTCAGCTTCTCGAAGGAAGCCTGCGTCTTGGGCAGCTCCTCCTTGAGGAAGCCCAAGAGCTCCTCCTTCAAAGAGCTGCGCCGGTCTTGGGCGTCAGCCGCCCCGAGGCCCTCGAGATCCTGCAGACTCGCAGAGGGCATGCAGCGGCGATTTTTGCCAGATTTCGGTTCGGCAGCTTCCGCCTCGAACTTGCCCAGCAGCAGCTCTGAGCGGCTGCGCTCCGCCTCGGGCTGAAGGGAGGCCACGGGGACATGGGACATACATGGCAAGCTGCACACGGAATAAAACCCACAAAGCCGCGCCTGGAGGGCCTCCTGCCAGAGCGCCTCTCCCGAGGACTGGCTGTGCCTTGGCAGGAGGCTCCTCCATCGTGTGATCGCCAAGGGTGATCGCGCACCAACCAGGTTCTGGTGCCCGTGAGGCAGCACCGCCAAACAGGCAAAGAGAGCTCCCAAGCATTTGGAGGGATGCCGACAGTGAGGCCGCGCGCTTCGTTCGCGCGGCTTCATCCAGGGTGTGGGATGAGCTCAGAACTGTCTCGATGGGTGCAGGATGCTGGGCTAAGCGACCTTTGTCGTCGGCAATGCTGAAGTGGGTGAGCTTTGTACGCGCAACTATTGCTACATCTCAGACACTTTGCATCTGATCCAACGGATGGGTCAGGAATTGCCGCGGCGTCTGAGATCTGATGCCCTCACATCAAAAGCTCGAAAACCGCTGAGCGCGCGGCCCCCGGAGCCTGCGACTTTCACGTCAAATTGGAGGTCTTCGGCTTTCTTGGGGATGTCAGGCCATGAAACGAAGAACTCCCCCTGAGCCCTTCCGGTGCCTTGGTCGGTCTGGGCCGCTGTGCCTTCCAAGCTGTGGAAGTGTCACTTTGAACCCTAAGAAGCTTCGGAAGAAGCTTCGGCAGCAAAGCTGAAAACACGGACGCACGGTTCAGTATACTCTCTCAACACAGTGAAGCCAAAACGCAATTTGCAGTGCTTCTGTCGGAGGCATTTAAAAGAACCACACCCAAGTCAGAAAAAGAGCCATTTCCGAAGATAGCATCAAGACTATGCCGGGCCATGCCTGCATTTGGCTTTCAGCTCCACCTGGTCGCCAGGCTTCCAGGCTTTGGACTGGGCTCTGGGGCCCAGGATCCTAGAAAGTGCTCGCAAGCGAGAACTCGGGGTTGCCTCCCAGAGGGGAAAAAGGGCTCGAGCGCCGCTGCCCATGGAGCAGGTTCCTAAACCGTCTAGCCGCTAAGCCCACGGTTTGCAGATGCTTCCAAAGCCTGCAGTCTACAGTCTAGATTTAAGGGCTTTGGGGTTGAAGTGTCTAAGTCCAAACGTTCAAAAAATATGTTCTGATTGCTGGGCGGACCCCATAGCTGTCCTCTCCAGCGTTTTATCCCGCATGCGAGGGTTGCGTGTCGGGCAAGTGCGTGCTTTGGTGCCAACACGGGCTGTCTACCCTACTATTGGTCCTCCAGATGGCTAAGGATAGGTTGAATGAGGCTACTCCTCGACAGATCTTGCTGGTCAGTAGGATCCATTGTCCCAGCAAGGCTGGCACAAGACAACATGAGCAGATTGAGGCAAGGAACAGAATTAGGATCACCACCTTTTGGAAAGCTCGCAGACACCATCCTATGGCCTAGTCTAGCCTGCCGTCTTGGCGAGGCCTAACCCGAGCATCGGGGGCTTGAGGCAACCGCAGCACAGACCTGTAAGAGCGACCTCAGATTGTGCGACGACATGCGAAGAAGGAGTACACGCGATATTACGCGCAAAGCCCTGCAGGTGAGGGCCCACAAATTCGTCACTTTTGTCAGAGAGTGCGCGGCGAAGGGCTCATGTCCGCATCCTCCTCATCACTGGAGTACGCCAGCGTGCCGGAGTCCCCGCCAAAGATCTCGTCCATTCGAACCTCGCTGGATCTGTCAGTCTCCACCACCGTGTGTGCACAGATCTCTTCGTAGTCCAACGTCGAGTTCTCCTTCAGCCAGCGCCCTACCAGGAACGGGACGGCTTCGGTCGTCACCTTCGGTCTCGGTTCTCTCTGCGGTGTTACCTCTATCACCGGCTTCGGTCCCGTCGGTGGTGCTTCGGCATCGCCTTCTTGCGTCAAGCTGAAGCTTCGGAGCACCTTCTCCTGGTCCTTCAGAACCTGGGCCACTTCACAGATCGACTCAATCCTCCAGCAAAAAATACTAGACCCTAAGTCCCTAAGTCATCTCAATCGAAGTCTGCAAGGAGCCGCATCCGGAGGATCTGGCGGCGGCATGGCTCGACCCAGTAGGGGGCCGCGGTGAGGCCGAACCAGCCTTGGCTTGGATCACTAGGAGGGAAAACAGGCTCCATTCCCTTGCGAGGACCTGTTTAACGCTGGGAGCACTGTGTATATCTATATCGTCTATATCTGTATCCATCTATACATACGGAAAGAGCATGATAGAGCTGTACTAATGCTGCGAGCCTAGAAGCCAGGCCGTCAGCGGCGCTATGTGGGTCACCAGTGACTCACGCAGCGAAGACAGGCTGGCCACCTGTGGACATAAGGCCCCAATGGGTTTTAGGCTTTCAGGTTCAGGTTTACGGGGTTTAGAAGGCTTAGGAGTTTAGGGTTTTGGGCTTGACATGGCTTGACTTCGCAACAACGAAAACTTGAAGCTCAAAGCTGCTGGTCACGACCGGGCGGCCAGCGGCAGGTTTTCGAACCAGGCATCCATGATCACCAACCAGCTGGCCAGCTTCCAGAACACCTGCTCAGCCACGTGATCCCAAGGTTTTGGAAACGTGTGGCTCATATATCTTTATGGCAGAGTTCGCCCATGACTCATGAGGTCCCTCATGTGGAGACCTTGAACTTAAACCAAGACTCCGGCCCCTTCTTCTGCCCACGGCGGCCACGAAGCCTCCGAGCCTCCTAGAGACTCTGCTGGTGCTGGAGCCCACAGCCATGATTGGCACAGGTGGTGATGAATTTGCAGATGCGGGCAGGCCATGAGATGGATCATTTCGCTCGATCATGGCCTGCACACATCTGCAAATTCATCGCAAGATGTCTGAAGCCTCACTGGACCTTGAGCTCACCCCGGCTGTGTCGACGATGACGATGAGGCCAGATCGCTTCGCTTGTTGTAGGACTCCCAGTCCGCAACTCCATCCGCAGCCAGCTGTCAGCAAGTTGCTGACCCTTTGCTTTAGCCATGCTCAGCAGGTCCCGGCTGAAGCGTAAGTCCAACTCAGACAGGAGGGTTATGGAGGTGCCAGTCCGGACGCCCCTCCCGGTGCGTCCGATCCGATGGACGTACCTGAGTAAAGCATTCCTTCCCCCCCCCGACGCATAATCATAGTTCACAACCCATGCGCAGGTAAAGAAGTCGAAACCTCGGGAGAGGACATCTGTTGTCAGCAGAACACGGGGCTGTGGACAGGAGACATCCCTGAAGTTGTAGATGGCGTCGGAATACCAAGGGCTTCGCGTTCGACCGAAACCTTCGATGTCTCCGGGCTCGAGGATCCCGGCCTCCTCAAGAAGCTCAACCACTCGCTCCACGCTACCGTACACGTCCCTTGATGAATGTAGGCCTGCCTCATCACAAGCAGCCCAGCACCAAGCTGTTCGACCGCG